TTAAAAAAAAATAAAGAGGAAGCCCTGGAAGTTATTTGCTGAGATCAAAGAAAGAAGCCTTATAGTTATAAAAGAATAGTCAGTCTTCGGGGTAGGTGGGAGTGGAGAGATAGGACTAACCTGAGAATGCAATGTACTTATTACATCTATTCAGGCCCAGCCAAAGAGTTTGCAGGGCCCAAGGTGACATGTTGTGGTTGGCTGCGTTGCATTGCCGGGCGGCTCCCAGCCAGGGCAGTGAGTGAGTGGCCAGGCAGGCGCCAGGCACCACAGGGCCCAAGGCAACCCCCTTGCTCACCTGGCCCTCAGGCCGGGCCTGCGTCTAGTCTATTTGTTCCTTTCTTCAGATCATTTATCTTTCTTGGAACCTCTCCGTGCTGGCAAGAGCCTCGCAAGCTGTATCTTTTCTGTGAGAAACTAATAAATAAATAAATAAGATACAATACAACTCAGAAGTGACGGGAACGGTTCCCAGAATACGTTTATCCTTGTCCGCATGATGGATTAAATAAGATTTTTTTTTTTGAACAGGTAAAGGCAATTAGTGCCGTGTGATGATAGGCTGAAGTGCATGATTACAGCACCCAGAACATAAGCGCTGAATAATCCTACTAGCTCTCACAAGGGCGGACGTCAAACCCAGCTGCGCCGATATTCCTGTAAGGCCCGATAAGCTGTTCAGCAGAATCAGGGGATGTGTTCTTAATTCATCTTTCTGGAGATCTCTACAGCAGCAAAGCAGCATTCCTGGCTGCTGGCCCACCCTGCGGTTCCTGATTCTCCAGGGATACCGCAGCAGCCAAAACTTTGGGCATTATGGCCACCGAGGACGGCTTCTTTCCCTGAGGCGGAGCTTATGACGGTGTCCTTCCCGGTATGGTATATGAATTCAGGGCAACGACCTCAGGGGATGAACTCAGCATGTCCAGTGTCTTCAGTGGTAGGTGACTCCCCGCGAAGGGCCACACACCCAAAGACAGCGGACTGCCATGACTGGCAGTACCACTGCAGAGCTCAGCCTGGAACAACAGGCAAACAGGCATGCTGCGTCAGAGCAAAGGTCCATCTAGGCTGTTATCCTGTCTGCCAACAGTGGCCAAAGCCAGGTGCCCCAGAGGGAGTGAACAGAACAGGGAATCATCCCTTGTTACCCATTCCAAGGTTTTGGCAAACAGAAACTAAGGACATCATCCCTGCCTGTCCTGGCTAATAAGTACCGATGGACCTATCCTCCATGAATCTATCTAGCTCTCTTTGGAACCCTGCTAAAGTTCTGGCCTCCACAACATCCTCTGGCAAGGAGTTCCACAGGTTGACTGTGCGCTATGTGAAGGAAAACTTCCTTTTGTTTGTTTAAAACCTGCTGCCTATTAATTTCATTTGGTGACCCTTAGTTCTTATGTTATGGGAGCAAGTAAATAACTTTTCCTTATTCACTTTCTCCACACCTGCCATGATTTTATAGATTTCTATCCTATCCCCCTTTCTATCCTATCCCCCTTAGAAAGACTCTTTTCTAAGGTGAAAAGTCCCAGTCTTTTTAATCTCTCTCCATATGGGACCCGTTCCAAACCCCTCATCATTTTTGTGATCGTCCATAAAACTGCACAAATTCCAGCTGCTTATTGCCCTCTGCAGAGGGTTCACTGAACAGAGCAGAGCTGAGATCTGTATCATGCTCTAGAAGACACTGATAAATAGGAGATAGTTTGTTACCATACCATAAACTGTGTGAGTGCTCCACCACTTTTCATAATAAAGGACCCCATTCCAGACACAAGCTCGCAGAACAAGCGGCAACAGGGAAGGGCAAGTCCTTCCTTCTCCCTCATGACCAGAGGTGAGACCCCTCCCCACTTTCAGTCTCCAGAGAGATCAGCGTTATGGGAGAATTCTTGTCCATGTTGCCTCACATCGACTAGCAGCTGAGGCATGGGGACTGGGCTGTGTTTTTTAAAGACCATCCACTGGACAACCAGAATCTGCCTGTGCCCTGTTTTGGGGCTGCACATGGTGTGAGTGTGTATACCGGGGGTTGGAGAGGTCGAGGCTAACAGAACAGAAGAGCAACTCAGGGGCGGGTTCATTTGCCCAAATTCTCTTCTCACCCCCAGAGTGGCTTTTGGCCCGCCTGCAGAAGACCATTCTGCTGCCTGAAGAGACTGGCGGGATGCCAAGTTGGTGCCCAGGGGCTTTCAAGCCCCCCCATGCAGCTTCAGCTGACAACCTTTGGCGGTGAAACTGAAAATCTGTGTCTTTCTACCGTTTCCAATTGGCCTCACACCGATCATACGACAGGGTACACCTAGCGGTTTAGCGGTACTTCTCCATCTTATTCATTTATCGGTAACTATCATTTCAGCTCCTTTATGTGGCAGCCACACACTGACATATTGGTTACTCCTGAAGAACAGGCAAGAGTCTGTACCGACTGTGCCCTTTCTGCCTCTCACTTACCAACACAATAGCCCACAAGGTTGAGATACTGCTCCTCCTTGCAGCTAGTCCTGCACTTCCCACGCACAAGGGTGGCATGCGGATGGCAGGTTCTGCAGTCAGAGTCTGAAGGACCATGGCAGCTTTTGCAGGACGGATGGCAGGCTGCATGAGAAAACAGCACTTGTGGTTAAGACAATCAAGCACTTCAGCAAAACAAGCTACGTATGTGTCTCAGCGAGAGAGAGAATCACAGGGTCGAATTCTCCATTGCCCACCACCTTGTGCATCATTTACACCTGTGCAATGAGGAGGTCAATTGCTATCACAGATGTAAGTGACGAGGGAATTCTGATCCGGAAGGATTTTACTCCCTCCCCTCTTTTGACTACCCAAGGTGCAAGCAGCAGGGAATTTAAAACCTTGCTGCTAGTCCTCTGCATAAAGGAAGATCTAAATCCACGTAAAATAAACAGATGATTCTCCCTCTCCCAGAGTGTGTGTGTGTGTATATATATACATACACAAACACATGCACTAGGGATGTTAGATTTCGATGAATCAGCTAACCGAATAGCCGACGAAATTTCCAACGACTACTCGATTAGTCAAAAAGGGGGGAGGGGAGTGCTCGGTATCCTGCTGCATTTCTGCCTTTGAAATGTACAAGAGCCACCTACGACTCTTGTACATTTCAAAGGGAGAGCCTCAGCAGACAAGACCCTACTGTTTCCCCCACTGTGCCTCTGCTCCCCCCGTCCCCTCCATGGAGAGGGTGTCGGGGGAATGGCTTTTAAGCCAGCTCTCCCCAGCACCAGCTCCTGCTACCCCAGCCCTTGGTGCCTCCGATACAGAGGTAGCAAAGGGTGGGGGGGAGAGTGACTAGTTGAGCAGTGACTCAACTACCCAAGAAGGTTATCAGGTAGTCGAGTAGTTGCTTACCTCCCTAACAAGCACTGAAGCACTGCGGGCGGGGGGGCGGGGGGAGAAGGTTACATGATAGCCTGGTATAAAAGTGTTACTAGTATGAGTTTTAATGGCCACATCACTCATGAATGGGGAAGCCAGGAATGATTTAGGAAGGTGTCTTCCAAACTTAGATCAATAAAACCTAAATGCAATGCTACACAGAAAACTAACAGAAAACTACTCCAGAAAGAGATTAAGAGTGTTCTAAAATATTTGATTGAGATAATGTTTTCCCTCCTCCTACCTATAAAGACAGGAATAGTTTTACCAGGATTCCAACTGTGCAGACTTCTGAGGGAAATAAAAATATGCTGAGACTCATGATATGTAAAAAGCTCTAAAATTACCTTGAAAAAAGCTTTCCTATGGAGCTAAAATGCAACTTCAGAAGCACAACATCATTTCATGACCTCCCCAGACTAGAAATAACTGTTGGATCTCTATGGAAAGCTAGGAATCTCCCATTTAATATAATATCAAGCTCCTCCTACTAGCCCTCAAAAGTCATCATCACCTACGTTTGACTGAGTCTCCTGCTCATTATTATTCAGAATCTGGTAAAAACTGAATGAAACACTTTCAAGGTTGCAAAAATCTAATAGACACAAGTTGTATGAACATTATTGCTTATTCCTGTTTAAAGGTTGCAGATATTCTATGCTGGTAAAGTGTGAGGTGAGGTAGTTTTCTTTAAAACTGTGTTTTCCACTTACACATTAATCATAGAACACTAGAACTGGAAGGGATCTTGAGAGGTCATCGAGTCCAGTCCCCTGCCCTCACGACAGGATCCAGTACCGTCCACTCTAGACCATTCCTGATAGATGTCTATCTAACTTGCTCTGAAATATCTCCAGAGATGGAGATTCCATAACCTCCCTAGGCAACTTATTCCAGTGTTTAACCACCCAGACAGTTAGGAAGCTTTTCCTAATGTCCAACCTAACCCTCCCTTGCTGCAATTTAATACCATTCCAGAATCAGACACGTTGCAATGCATCATATACTTAGCCATGATCTCCTAGGTGGCAGTGCAGAACACGGAAATCAATATAATGTTTGTAATCACTTGCCCAATAAACACATTTATAGAGTATTCCTTGGAAAAAATCCAATAAGTAGAACACAGGATTTCAGACTTCTCCAATTTGGAGATCTCCAACTCAAAAATAACCAGCTCATCAAATAAATTTAATATTTCTGAAAATATCTAGCCCAGTACACATTTATGGACATTGGTTGAAAACTGATAAAACCAGTCGATGACTTTCATATGATGTCTTAGGGGCACATCACATTTCAAGTCTCTGCCGCCTCCCCCCACCTCCCCCACCTTCTTGACGTCAGCAACTAATCGTGAAAGATTGCACCTTGAGGTCAGCAACTAATCGTGAAAGATTGCACCAAATCCCCTGATTTTGGCTTAGTTGGGTACATAGGAATTCATTGTGCCATTCAGCCAGAGCAATGGATTCTGGTAATCTGATTATATTAGATTAAATAGCTTAGATGAAAGCTGTGAACTGGTTGGCTGAAGAGGTGTATAACTCATAAATTATACTGTAGCTGATGCACACATGAGAAATACAACATCCTTCCCTCGTCTGATAACTACTCCTACTTAGAACATGCGTTTTCTCACCCAATTGCACAATGTCCTACTTGTAAAGTCCAGTGCTACAGTAAACTATGGATTACAAACAATAATCTAATTGACACTGCACAGTAACAATATGTTTTTCTAGCCTTTTGGTCCATTGAGCACAAATCATTCAAATACGCTTAAAATCTAGCTGCATATTGTCATTCTCATTTTCCATTATTAAGCCTAGGCTTATTGGGTAGTTGAATTGACTACTTGCATTCCCCCCACTTGCTGCCTCTGTATCTGCCGAGCCACAGCGGGGGGTAGCAAGCAACCCTCCCCTTATCGACGAATCGAGTAGTCGATGGAAATTCTATTGACTGCTCAATTAGCTGATTACCCGCAATTTAATGTCCCTATTCCAGCTACATCTTGCCTACACACAGAGCCTTTGATGGTTCTCTTAGAGACATTCTGGAATATTCTTTAAAAACAAGAAATAGTCCCTGGCACCTCAGGGGTATGTCTACACTGCACGCTTATTTCCAAATAGCACATCTACACTGCTGGGAAGCCTCAAAATGAGTCCAAGGCAGGCTTCCCTAATGTAGATGCGCTATCTCGATTTAGAGCCCCCAAAGGCACTGGGGAAGAATAACTTAGAATGGTCCTGGTGAGGAACTATTTCGAAATAGCAGCTGTACAGCATCGATACGTGCCTTATTTCGAAATAGCTATTTAGCTGTACAGCATCGATACATGCCTTATTTCGAAATAGCTATTTCAGAACAGGCATTATTCCTCGTAGAATGAAGTTTACAAATTTCGGAATAAGCCATTGATTATTTTGAAATTATTTTGAAATAACGTAACGGCTGTGTAGACGCTCACATTGTTACTTGGAAATAATGCTAGTTATCTCGAAATAATGGTGAAGTGTCAATGCACCCTAAGAGACTTAAATATATATATAAACATTTCAAAGGGGTAGCCATGTTAGTCTGTAACTGGAAAAACTTAACAACAAATAGTCTTGCAGCACCTTAGAGACTAACAAAAAATGTAGATGGCATCATGAGCTTTCGTGGGCACAGCCCACTTCTTCAGATGCATGGAGTTTAAGGGGTCAGTACAGTTTTAAAATAAATAGTACAGTGAGGGTTAGGGGGCAGCAAGAGGACGAAAAAGAAGAAAAAAAAAGGGGGAAAGAAATTGTCAATTAGTGTGTCCATGCTAAATGAAGCTGATAGGAACGATCTCAGTAACCTTTGTTTGGTTTTTTATGTCAGTAGAGTATAGAATGTAACGGGTCATCCAGCCAATGTCTTTGTTTAGACTTTTGTTGTAGGAATCAAACTTGTAAATGAAATTAAGTTCTGTAAATTCCCTGTTGAGCTGGCTTTTGAAATAGGTTTGAAATAAAACGGTGACTTTGAGATCCATTAATGAGTGACCAGGCACAAATCCACTTAAGCCTAGCTTTGCTCATTCACTCTACTGTTTCTCGCATGCATTGAAATTGTAAGCTCTTTAAAGAAGAGACTAAGGCCACAGTCTTGCAATGCTCTATCCACTGGACAATACTGCCTTAAAAAACTAACCCTTCTGACCACAAAGTCCTGTGTGAGCACTACACAGTACATTAAAGACGTCTTCTCATGGGATAGTGGCTAGGGACACCATCACAGCCTAGTGCAACAATCTGCAGTATATTTTCACTTCAATCCAGGACAGCAGAGCGGGTTATAATTTTTATTTAACATCTCTCTTTCTCTCTGGTAAAATAATCCAGCTGCTGAAGCTCTACCGTATGAGTCTCTCCTGAAATTACTGAATAGCCTCCTGTAACCTGACAGCGTATCTAATTGCACTGAACTGTTCAAGCAGAAAGATGCCGCAGTATCTACACTGTAGCTCTCCATGCTAGTCACTGACCGTGGCAAAGGCCATTCTGTCTGTACAATCCTTCCGGGCACTCGGAGAAGCACTTGCCGTCAAGCAAGACGTGGGGGGAAGAGCAGGCCGTACAGTTGTGGGGAGTCTTTCCTGTGCAGGCTGAGCATGAATAGTGGCACTCTGCAGGAAAAAGAAAAAGAAAAGGGGGGGGGAGGGTGGAGAGACAAATTAGTTTCCAGTCTGTTGCTGCCAAGGACTGATGATTTCATTCCCCTGCTAGCTCGCCGTTTCCCCTAAGCAATCAGACCTGCGCTCAGCAGGCTTCTCCACCAGTGAGATAATACAGAAAAGGTACAAATCTTGTGTTCCGGAAATAGTTAAAGAAAGCAACCACAAGTAATTGCTTTTAACCCACCTCTCTCCCTCAAAGGTCGCGCTTGCATTCTCAAAACAGGAGATTTGGGTGCATGCTGCTGTCTTGGTCCACGTCTACACTTACAAGCCACAGCTGTGTCGCCGTAAGAGCGCTCGCACAGCTGCATTATGACAGGGACCAGGAGCGTTGCTGTCGGCAGGACTACAACCAACTCAGTGAGCAGCGGTGGCTACATCAGCGGGAGAGACTCTTCCACCGACACGGTGCTGTGCTCAACAGCACTTCTGTCGGCAAAACTTTTGTCACTCTGAGGGTGGGGAAAAACCCGGAGCAGCGTAAGTTTTGCCAACATAAGTGCTAGGGTAGAATTGTCCTTATATCTTCCCCCTCCTTGGAATACCAACAGACCTCTGGCCTCCTCTAGGAGCAGCACACCTAGAAATCAGCCATCACTCGCTCCACGCACTGCGTGTCTGCCTTCCCCTTCACGCCAGTCTATGGCCTTGCTCCAGCTTCTGTCTGTAGCAACAACACCAAGGGCTCTAATGGTGGGGCTAGACACTTGATTTCTCAGCTAACAAGGTAAATCAGCCCAGGTTAACAGGGCTGGCCAGCCTGAAATAAGAGTCAGGGAGAGCAGAAATAAATCTCTGCAACATGCACAGTCAATGACCCTATGCTTCTGCATCTCAAAACAGGCCCAATGCAACCCTGCTTATTACCCATTTATAATAGAGCAGTGACTACAGCCAAGATCTGAGTCCCACTGTTTTAGGCACCGTAGAAGACAAAGTCTGTGGCCGGCAGGGACTCCCTGCGTAGCTGGAGTCAGCATATCTTCGAGCTTGGCGGCGTCCCCACAGCGGGAGGCTGACGAGAGCAAACATCCCGATTGGCTTCCCTTACTTCTTGCAAAAGGAGGAGTACTGGATGCCAGTGGGGGCACCCTCTGAGTTTGATTTAATGAGTCTTAACTAGATCGACTGATCAAATCTTAACCAGACTTGCTAAATCAAACTCCGAAAGATCAATTGCAGCAGCAGCGATTTTCCTTTTAGTGTAGACAAGGTCTAAGAGCATACAGTTTAAAGAGACAACATGGACAAAGGATGGGCAGAAACAGGCCCCAGGAGGTGAAAGAACATGCCCATGGTCGCTCAGTAGGTCAGGAGCAGAGCTGGGAGTTGCACCCAGTGATCCTGATTGCTAGGGTGGTGCCCTTTTCCACAGGACCACACAGCCTTTGGTGTAGCTAATCCCCTGGAAATCAACAGAGGTACTCTAGGGATCAACATTGTCAGGGAAATTCCAAGTGTTCAGACTGTACAAGAATGTTTCCATGGATACCTAAGAAATCCAAATCTGTATGAAGAGAAACTTTAAAACCTGACCTCTCAAACCGTGAATAGGAAAATGGCAGAGTTTGCATTGTGAGAAGGGTGGATAAGCAACATCCACCAAATTACTTTTAGAGCCAAGACCCAGTTAGAGCTGGGGCTCCCAAATGCACAGCCACACACCTAGGAGCCCTGTAAGGCCAGCACTTTGCCCACACTATGGCCCCTAGAACATGTTTTCAAGGCAAGTTCATTAAACCCAAGATGACTCAGTGTAACATGCCAGGTTCTAAAATCTGCACCTTCTAATGAAAATGTTTCTTAGAAATATTCCATCCTATATTGCAGCAGACTCTTTGGCCACATCTATACTTATCAAGCCAGAAATCAATCTTCTGGTAGTCTATTTAGTGCAGTGTTTCTTAAACTGTGTTCTATGGCACACTGGTGTGCTGCAAGACAGTCGGAGGTGTGCCGCAGAGAACAAAAGAGTTCAAAACGGCTGCCCTTAAAGGGCCAGGCGACCTTTTTTTTTTCCTCAATAACTTTCCCCTTGGCCCTTCCTCCCTTCCCCCCCCCACTAAATTGAATGCTGAGGGCACTCCGGTCCATGTCAGTACTCCTTGACTCATGAGGGGTAAGGGAAGTCAGCAGGAGCATTTGCTCCCATCAACCTCCCGCTGTGGAGACAGCGCCAAGCTTGGCTTAAGATACGTCGACTCCAACTACTGACGTAAATCGTGCTGTGACAACTTCCATCTGCTGAAGACCTGTCTCTAACCAATTAAGAATCAAGACAAACAACAAGCTGCGGTTATCCTCCTCATACACAGAACTGCAATCGTGATGAAAACAAGGCCTGGAATTTTACTTGGAAAAAAAAAGGACATCTTTCTTCCAAAAGTAGTTTCGAGAGTGACTGAATTATGTACAGGCAGTCCCCGGGTTACGTACAAGATAGGGACTGTAGGTTTGTTCTTAAGTTGAATTTGTATGTAAGTTGGAACTGGTACATATTGTAGGGGAAACTCTAGCCAAACATTTCTCCAGAGCTCAGTTTTATTCTCCCACACCTCACTTCCCTCAGTCCTTTATTCTCAAGCTGAGGTGTCTGCTGAGAAAAGCCGCTCCGCGTCTCCCTGGTCTGCTGGGGGGGGCGCTAGCTTCGCGTCTCCCTGGTCTGCTGGGGGGGAAGCAGCTAGTGCGGGGTTGCCTCACCCCGTTTGTAAGTAGGGATCCGATGTAAGTCGGATCCATGTAACCCGGGGACTGCCTGTATTTGCAACTGGCACAGAAAACACTTAAGAGATGTTCTCTTCTCTGGCTTGCCTCTCAATCGCTTAAATCTATATACATGCCAATTCCTTTTGTTTGGCGCCAGTGCAGCTGAGTGTAAGACGGATACAAACCCAACGCTGGCGCCTTTAAGAGGCAAACCAGAGCCCACTACTTGTTACAGCCTGTACAGCTGATTGTTTTGTACAACGGCCTTGTGCTAACAATGCATTTTTCTCTTTTAAGCACCTTTAAGGCATGAAATGACCCGCCAGCAAATTTCAGTGGAACTAATCTACTAGATGAGTTTTATGTTACAGTCATTGGCAGCAGCTTGTATGGGTGTGGGGAGGGGAACACTCCGATTAGCAGAATATGTTGTACACTGGAGAATAACTAGCCTATGCGAATGCTCATTCTATGTAGGGATTCCAGGACTCTTTCTAAAGGGCTGTCATTTCACTTCCAACTCCAGCTGGAGAGGTCATTCCCAGCTGAGGCAGATACGCCTGCGCTGATTCTGATCAAGCAATGCTCTACAACTTGCGGCGCAAGCACGAGTGGTGGGACAAGCCAGCTGTCCTGACTGCATCCCTAGGGTTTCAGATGGGATTGTACTCAAGTGGTTAGCCCGTCCCGCTGCTGCTGTTAGCACACTAGCCCGTGCAAGTAGGCCTGCTTGGTAATTCCACGCCCCCGCTCCAGCGTGCACATCTCCTAAGTCTGAGGGTGGGCTGAGCTGGTTTCCAAGAATCTACAGTAACCTTTTCACCTGCCCTGCCTGCACTACAAGAAAAGCGGTTGCATCAAGCTGTGCCATGTGCACACATGCATGCAAAGCTGTCTCGAGCTTTATACACCCTTTGGTTCTACTAGCGGGCTGCAATATCCAGTGCGGCATTCGTGCTTTGGGTTTGGCTGACCCAGTGCAATCTGCAATGGCTTCTCCTCAGCACAGCTGGGAAGGCACAAGCATTCTCTCCGTCCTCCTAACTTCATCCCACAATGCAGGGCCTTCTCCTTGGTATTTACCTAAAAATCTGTGTTCCCAGTCACACTGCTGGATGTTATGGGATAGATCCTTCAGGATGCCCAGAATGCATTAAGCTAGCAATGGCTGAGAGATGCACTAGGTGTAGACTTGTTAAAACAGTTCTTTTAAAAAGCAGCACTCATAGTATCACAGGGTTGAAAGAGACTTCAGGAGGTCTTTTGAGTCCAACCCCCGACCCAAAGCAGGACCAACCCCAATTCAATCATCCCAGCCAGGGCTTTGTCAAGCCGAGACTTAAAATCCTCTAGGGATGGAGATTCCACGACCTCCCTAGGTAACCCATCCCAGTGCTTCCCCACCCTCCTAGTGAAATAGTTTTTCCTAATATCCAACCTAGACCTCCCCCACTGTAACTTGAGACCATTGCTTCTTGTTCTGCCACCTGTCCCCCACTTTGACCAGTCTCTCTCGATCCTCTTTGGAACCTCCCTTCAGGTAGCTGAAGGCTGCTCTCAAATCCCCCCTCACTTTTCTGTAGACTAAATAAGCCCAAATCCCTCAGCCTCTTCTTATAAGTCGTGTGCACCAGCCCCCTAATAATTTTTGTTGCCCTCCATTGGACTCTCTCCAATGCATCCACATCCTTTCTGTAGTGGGGGCCACGAGAACTGGACGCAATACTCCAGATGTGGCCTCACCAGTGCCGAACAAAGGGGAATAATCACTTGCCTAGTTCTGTTGGCAATACTCCTCTTAATGCACCCTAATATGCCATTAGCCTTGGGTACAAGGGCACCCTGTTGACTCATATCCAGCTTCTCATGCACTGTAATCCCCAGGTCCTTTTTTGCAGAACTGCTGCTTAGCCAGCCAGTTTAACCTGCTTCAGGGAAAAGAAAGACAATTTCCGCATCCCCTGCAACAATTTCCAGACTTGGGGCTTTCTCCTGCTCCAGCTGAAGTCACTAGTGAAACTTCTACCTTTGCGTTCAGTGGCATGGGAACACCAACACAAACCTACCCTAGGATCCATAAAAACATCCCCAAACCTGCCAGAGTCCCTGCACATTTTCAGTAATTGAAAGCAAATTATTCTGTGTTAATAATTGAAACCAAGTCATTCGGCCGGCTCTTTTCCTCACCTCTGCACACTCCGGTGTTCTCAAGGTAGAACTGGGCTTTGCACTGAGGAAGACAGGTGCCGTATGGTGCTTCCTCAAGGGGCTGTCCAGGCTGTAATACCTCCTCTGGCTTCCTGCACTGGGTGCAGTGAGAAGTCTCCGGGCCCACACAGGCACGGCAAGATGGATGGCAGTCTATAGAAGAGCAATGGACTATGAAGTCATATATCAAGAGACGGCATCCTTTACCTGACAGAAGCCGGATAATCTCCACACAGACAATAGAACCCTGACATCCGAATGAGAGATGGTGGGAAAAACCGATAAATCGTCGTGTTCGACCCACCTCAGAGTGCTGGACTGCTCCTGACAGCAGACCCTGCAGATAATTATGCGGGGGTGGGTTTCTCTGCCAAACTCTGCTCCCATTAAAGTCTATGGGAGTTTAATCACCCATTTCAGGGGGAGCAGAATTAAGCCCATGCATCTGCAAATCCCACCCTATGATTTTAAATGAGTTAACTAATGGGGTGTGCGCAGCCTTCTTTGGGAAATGGCACCACGGTCGGCTTTGTTTTATATCATGAAATGGTGATGGTAGATGTGGAATCTTTTCCCAATTAAAAAATAAGGCGTTTTTTTCAAGTACTGAAGGAGGGAACACTGCAGCCCAGTGTTTTAGGCAACTCAATGTTCCTTTTACCTGTAGAGCTGCATAAAAAGCCACATTTTCTTCTTGGGGAAGCTGGGGGGCAGGCCTGCCGATGGAGGGGGAGGAGGGCAAAGAGGCACCTGCCCCAGAGCCCGGCGACTTAAAAGGGCCCGGGGTTCCCAGCCGCTACAGATCCGGTCCCTTTAAATCGCTGCCAGAGCCCTGTGTTATGCGCTCTGTGCAGCTCTACGGGCTGAGGGGGGCGCTGCCGTCAGGGTGGTGCTGACGTCTGGCTGCTCCCAGCCCTGGCCTTTCTGCCAAGGCCACGCTGCTTCTAGTAGTGCAGAGCCAGGCCCCCCACCACCATGCCGGGGGGCCAAGCAAGGCTGTCGGTTCCTCTGCTGAGGGGAGAGGAAGAGGAGGGGAAAATGATGGGCTCGAAGGGTTTATGAGACGTGTAAACCGTGTCCCCTGAACATTCACACTTTCCTTCGCAGCCCAGGGGGAATTCTTTTTGGCCTTAACAACTCCACCACACGTTCATGTGAAATGGTATGCACTTTGAAATGTCATCAGAAAAACATAGGGAGCACTCCCTGTTGTCCCAGTGTGACAATACAATGGGCGAGGAAATCTCCAGAGGGAACAAATCCGGAGGAAGGGGGGGTAATAAAAAAAATAGTTAAGACAACGAGTGTGTTTATTTGTTTGGGGGAAGGGAGAAAATGGGGCAGAACGTAGAAATTTTACACACCTCCTCTTACCTCAATCTACGGAAACGGGCTGAAGCATGAGATGCTCTCCACCAGCACAGCTTCCCTGAAGAGAATGGGATTGTCACGGACTTCCAGTTACTGGGGGCCTGGTTCCAAACCTGTAGCTTACCTTTGCAGACGTGGTGGTCGTGATAAAAGCCCTCTCCGCAGGCTGGAAGGCACTGGCCCTGCTGCAAACCCAGAGAACGGGAACAGGACGTGCACTGAGTGGCCAGCGGTCCAAGACAAGTGGCACAAGAATCATGACAAGCTGCCGGAGAGAGACAAAGCGCATAACTGGGATCACATATTTAGCCTGTTTGTAGTCATAAGAACAAAAGAACGGCCATACTGGGTCAGCCCAGTGTCCTGTCTGCCGACAGTGGCCAACACCAGATGCTCAGAGGGATGGAACACAACAGGTAATCCTCATGTGATCCCTCCCTTGTCACCCACCTCCTGAGAAACAGAGGCGAGGGACACCATTCCTACCCATCCTGACTAATAGCTATTGATGGACCTAACCTCCATGAATCTATCTAGCTCTTTTTTGAACCCTGTTGAAGTCCTAGTCTTCACCACATCCTCTAGCAAGGAGTTCCACAGGTTGACTGTGCGCTGAGTGAAGAAAAACTTCCTTTTGTTTGTTTTAAACCTGCTGCCTATTGATTTCATTTGGTGACCCCTAGTTCTTATATTGTGGGATTAAGTACATAACTTTTCCTTATTCACTTTTTCCACACCAGTCATGAGTTTATAGATCTCTATCACATCCTACCTTAGTCTCCTCTTTTCTAAGTTGAAAAATCCAAGTCTTTTTAATATCTCTTCAGATGGGACCGGTTCCAAATCCCTAATCATTTTTGTTGCCCTTTTCTGAACCTTTGCCAATATATCTTTTTTGAGATGAGGCGACCACATCTGTATGCAGTATTCAAGATATGGGTGTACCATGGTTTTATATAGAGGCAATAAGATATTTTCTGTTTTATTCTCTACCCCTTTTTTAATGACTTTTTTAATGAGTCATGTATCATGCAGCCATCTCTCAATCTGTATTCCACTCTATTCTGCCACATGTTCAAGTAACGATAGTGAGGATAATAAAGAATGAGAAAAATACTTCCCTCTTACACAGCGCTCTTCACTCAGAAGTCTCAAAATGCTTTGCAAATAAGATCATTTAAAACAATCCACCAATTAACTGGACAGCTTAAAACTCAAAACCCCCGTCTTCTCAAACAAATCTGTACCCTACCCACTTGCAAAAGAAGGTGAGCTCAAGAATGTGCCCTGAACATCATCGGAAAGGCCACACAAGAAGGGCCAAGCAGAAATGCCTCTCACCTCTGCATCTCTGAGTGCTGTCTCTGTAATAACCGCCAGGGCATTCTGAAATGCATTTCCCACTGTGTAACACCTTCTCCGACGCACAGGTTAAACACATGGGTTGGACTGAAGAACACGTTTCGCAGGACTGGTCGCACGCTGTCAAAGAGGACAGTTCATTACTGAAAGGCACCTTGTTACGAAAGAAACAGCAGTGTTATCAGTCTGGGGGTACATATACCATATAGCACAACAGTGCCATGTCTAGCTCCCTTGTCATGGAGACACTTTCAAATGTGACAGTAAATCACACCCTTCCTCTGGCCTTTCACTGCATGCATAGTAACATGTCTGAGTGAAGACAGGACAGATCTCTAATTGCCCTACAGAACTAGTGGGATTCGGAGGGACACAGAAACAGCGGCAGCTGCTCTCCACTAGGGCTATCACGAAGGGAGTTGCATTGATGTTAGACCAACAGTGGAAAACTGTCAGTAGAGTCAGCGAGACGTGGTGTCTGGACACACCACAAACCCTATCGGCCTCCTCTTCTCGGGAACGGTAGATTAGAGAAAAAGGCTTATGCCCCATTGGCTCCCTGCCCAGATAAATGGCTAGCAATGTCCACAATCTCCATTTTCCATTAGAAAGAGACGTGAGAGTTACCACCCCATGAATGTCAGGGGCAGGAGACCGACCAGAGCTCTCTTTCACACGCTCTGACTGCAGCAGACTTCCATTTGCATTCAGTTCCCATTTGGGGGGTTCTCTCTTATGGGGCATCCCATAAGTTTGTGATTTGGGAGTGTGGAATATGGGCCAAGACTTGGACACCAACCCTGGCAGTTCGTGTTCATAAAAATGGCTGTTTGTGGAAATTATTGCACAATCTCATTAGTGCCGCACCCCGGCTGAGCCCCTCCTGACATGAGCTGTACTCAAGACAGAGAACTTTCTGACTGAAACACGAGCTGCATTTAGACCCCCAGAAAAAAGACAGGGGAGCAAATATTCAATCCGCATGCGCTACACAAGCTAGTGCCAAGGAATGGAGGAAAGAGGTTTCATGTCTTCATGGATTGACCTCTTTGGGCAATTCTGCAGCCAGCTGGGGATGGTGAAAATGTCATAAGGCTGACACAAAAGCTCCAAGGAAGAGCAATGGCTTTGGTTTTTGCGAGGCATAAGCAAAGTAGTTGGTTTGACCTGAGGAGAGGAGTCAGGCAAGGCTACATATGCTAACACCAACCCTCTTCAACTGTTACCTGAAGAAACCATAAAAAGGGTCACTGATGGAAACCTTCACAGTGAACAATTAGTCATCTGTGTTTTGCTGTAAACATTCACCTGATTGGATAGTTGCATGAAAAGGAGCCAAAATTGCTAGGAAGGGCAGTGAAGAAAGCAGAGAAATCAGCTATCAAGAGATCAAAGACAAAGGTCTGTTGGAAAAGCAAAGCTATTCCTACCCAAATCTGAGGAGGCACTGGAGTGTGTTAAGCACTTCAAAGACTGGGTAGAGTGTCTACAAGGGCTGCTGAACACTTACAGATGAGACACGGACGAGGATTCATGACTGCAGGTTTAGCAACATTCAGCCACATTTACAGAAGCAAGACCATAAAATAACTGAGAAAACTGACACTCCAGGGGCTTTCTGCCTTCGAACTGCACTGCTGCAGGGGACGGCTGCACATTAGCCATACCGCACCCGAACTTACAGTATGACCGGAAGGAGGTTGGATGTCATCAAGATGATCAGACAAGGAAAATTTGAGCTGCAGGACGTGGATTGGAGGAGCAGAGGACGTTTTGAAAGGGCTGGGTTTTTACTGTTCATTGTGAAGTGAGGTTATGGTGCTTTGCACTACACCGACGACGATGAACTACATTGATGCAGAGCAAGTCTCTAACGTACATGAGTTGCTCCAGTTCATCTCACTTGGGTTAGCAGAGGCAACATGCCTGCTATCAGGGTTTGTACAGTGCAGCAATGACCACGTACTCAACACCACTGCCAATTGCCTTTTAGTAGATGGGACCTTAAACTCTTAGGGTGGGCAATTATCCCATATCTGCCTACTACAAGGTTTCTTGCACCTCATCTGAAGCAGCTGGTAGCGGCCCTTGTCAGAGACAGGCTAGTGCACTAGAGGGACCTTAGTTCTGATCCAATCTGGTAACTCCTATGTTTTTTCTCATTATCTGCCCAGTTCTACCATCCTCTGAAGACTAACATAAGACCATAAGAGAGGACAGACTAGGTCAGACCAAAGGTCCATCTAGCCCAATGTCCTGTCTTGTAACAGTGGCCAATGCCAGGTGCCCCAGAGGGAAAGAACAGAACAGGGAATCATCAAGTGATTCATCTCCGTCATCTAGTCCCAGCTTCTAACAAACAGAGGCTAGGGACACCGTTCCTTTTCATACTGGTTAGTAGCTATTGATGGACCTAACCTTCCCTGAATTTATTGAGTTCTTTTTTGAACCCTGTTAAAGTTCCATTCTTCACAACATCCTCTGGCAAGGAGTTCCACAGGTTGACTGCGCGCTGCATGAAGAAATACTTCCTTCTATTTGTTTTAAACCTGCTACCTATTAATTTCATTTGGCGACCCCTGATATTCTTTGCCCCTTTCCCTCTCTTTCTCTTTGGCCTTCCAACAGATTCCCCCATATCATATCTGTGCCACAGGCACTGTTCAGTCACCAAGCTGTGGATTACTGTACAACTTCAAGCAACCTGCTGGCAAAGGTCATCCCTCTTTCCACAATCAAATGGATTAGTTAAGCCCAAAGAATCAACTCACTTTTGCTTTCATGCTGCTCAATGAAGGGAACACCCTTAAACCTTTAAGCATCTGATCAGTTTAAATCAACCAGTAATCTTAGAAACAAGTAGCAGGACTTCTCACAACATATTTGAAGGCTGGACACACAACATACTGATTCCTTTCTGCAATGCACGTGCAAAGTTCATGTCAGAAAACAAAGAGAATCAGGGAGTTACCATGGCAGATTCCATTCTTCATATAAAAGCCGTGACCACAGCTGGCCACACAAAGGCCGGCATTTAAAACACGAGACCTGTCTTTGCAGGCCAAGCAGTTGTTGTCAGCAGACCCCCAGCATGCAGAGCAGGACTCATGACAAGCTGAAAAGAAAAAGGGGAACAGGTTAATGAACAACCCAACAGTCACTGATTTTTTAAAAATGAGTTTTGTAGCAATTCGCCTATTTTACTTTCACTCCTAAAACAACATGGGCATTTTGTAGCTACTAAAAACCATGGGTGTACTGAGTTTGGTACGTTTAGCTGGGCTGGTCACACTTTTGGGGAACTCCATTTACATCCCAATTTTGCATCTGCAAAATAGCTAAGTGCAAATGAGAATAGTGCCTGCGGCTACAATCGAGGCATGCTGGAAAATCTTTGTATTGATAGAGCATGGATCAGGATTCACGCTTCACGATGCTACGTGGAAACACTCTCTGCCCTGAATTGTTTATAAAATAAACTGCCAGTTCTGCAACCAGATTTTTACTGTGCTGCAAAAACTCTACATTGGGGGCTATGAGCTGCTGAACTCTACCCCCAGATTGATTTTGTCTGGATGGGGAAGGGATAACCCCATGGAATGCTGGGTACTGGAGGGAGGAGGAGGGAGAGACAGGTGGAAAATGTCTCTTGGTGGCAAGTTCTGCGTAAAGCACACATTGTGCACTCTGATTCTTTTCCCTTAGATGGCCAAAAGAATGGAAACACCCCTATTATACTGAGAACTCTCAAACCTCCATCTTTGGGCAAATCCTACGCCAAGGCCAGCACCCAGTAACTGTTTGGTTATTCCTGAAATATATTATATGTACACACTATTCAGGCAATGGGGATGTCCTCTCCTGAGCAGATGATACAAGTGCAGGCACATACAAAACTAGAGCAACCTTTCAGCATACTAATTTTTTGCAGAGAAATAAATGACTGAATGGGGCTAAAACCTGCTCTGTTACAGAGCTGTGAGAATCAATTCATTATAGCTGTGTCTATACTGCAATGCATATCGCCAAGCCTCATTTGCATAATTAACGAGGCTCCGTTTTTGCACAAGAGGCTTTTGCGCAAAAACCCCCTCTCGCACAAGAGCTGCTCTTCCTGAAAAAAATGCGGAAGAATGCTCTTGTGCAAGAGGGAGGTTTTGCGCAAAAACGGAGCCTAGTTAATTATGCAAATGAGGTGCCGCGATAGTCCACGCTTCACCTCATTTGCATATTTCTTGCACCAAACAGGCGCAGTATAAACATAGCGTATGAGTTTCACTGAGGGGAAAACCTAGCCCACTCTAGTTAGGCCTTTTATGGTATTTGTGTGTTAAATCATGTGCTGCCAATACTCCCACAACCTGTGCAAATTACAGGTCTTTTAGACTTAGATTTTTTTTCCTGATTACACCCAAATATATTTGAATAATGTTCTCAACTTTCTAGCTTCACAAGGCATGTCTGTGCTTGTATTCCCACCCACTGAAAGGTGGGGTGAAACAAAATCCTCACGCCTATGTCCTGAACATGCCTACATTCATGAAGGCCACCTCTAAGAAAAACACAACTGCATTTGCTATTTGTAAAGTAAGATGCAACCCTCAAATACGGTTGTACAGGAGGCTCTGCGGTCATTTTTCAAATCCCCTCCGCAGCAACTGCATTCAGAAATTCCAACGGTGTCGAAAAGCCATTTCTAACGCTGAAAGAGCTGCAGTTATGGTACCAGGACTGCATCCCATGCAGAAATCAGGACACAACAATAACAACTCACAAGGAAATAACTGATTCGTGCGGGGGAGCTTAAATGTCATTTAAAGGAGGGAGAACAGAGAAAAAAAAGTTTAAAAAAAAGAGTTTAAAAAAAAAATCAAACAGATCCATCGCCTGCAGCGATTTGCCTAGAAATAGATGAGAACTGTCTCGTTTTCCATAAAAGAGGAACATGCGTAACCTTGGAGGGCAAGTGAGGACGGAGTGAAGGAGCAGACACTCAAATGAGAGAGAAAGGGGAATGGCTGCCACTGACTCTCAACACGGACACTTACACAAACATAAGAGATCGCTTATTCCCCCTCTTTCTTCCAAGTTTTTTAATTCCTCTTTTATCTGCTGGAGCACGTAGCATTCCTCCCTGCTGGCTTTGTTTCATGAACAAGCTGGAGCCTCTGTCTAGGTCCTGTGAGGCAAGGCAGTGCTGTTACCCCCATTGAACAGATGGGGAACTGACACGCAGAGAGACTAAGTGACTTGCCCAAGGTCACACAAGGATTGGTTTTAACATTCCTGAGTCCAAGTCCAGTGCTTTCTTCACCACAACCCAGCAGGCCGACAGCCACCATGGGCCCTGCCCCCAGGGCAAGATGTGGGGGGGGGGCTCTGTGCCCCTGGAAGGGGCGGGGCTTTGGGTAGAAGAGGCAGGGCCATGGTAGGCAGATTTTCCAGACCTGTGGTACTTCTCTGAACACCCCTTCTCCCCCCGCAATTTTTCCAACATTGTTTTTGAAGTGTGGACACCAGAGCAGGACACAGGATAGCCACAATGGACTCATCAGCACCGCACGCACAAGTTACATTAACTTCCCGACATACCCATTTACACAGGTGAGGACTGGAGATGCCCTCATGTCAGCTGATTGTCTGCAATGGCCCCTAAGTCCTTCCCCCTGCTTTCCCAAGCAAAGCTCCGAATCCTTTAAGCATGGAATACGTTCTGTTCCTTAATGGACGATCCTGCACCTGGCTGCATTAAAGCCTACGCTGTTAGACTGACTCCAGATCAGCTAAGACTGCTCTGATTTAGGGATGTAATAGTGTAGCCGATTAACTGATAAGCAAAAGCTTATAGGTTAATGCTATAGACTACACGCATTTCTCCCCCTCCCTCCTTGCCAGTAATTTTTAGCAGGCTGGCCAACAAGTGGGCTCAGCTCTGGCTCACGCCGGTCTGCTTTTAAAGTGTATTAGGAGCCAAGCCTGCAAGCAGCTCAACACTGACTACCAGCCCCACCCCGGGGACTACAGAATAGTTGAGTACCCGATAAGAATTCATGAGGTTAATTAACTATTCAATTCACCAATATTTAACATGCCAACTCTGAATCAGTGACTATTTCTCACTGTCACCTACTGGCCCAACCTCTATCTGCAAAGAGAAACTCACTACTGTCACCGGCAAGTTTCACATTGAACGGAAGTAAGGAAGCGGAAGGGATGGAAACAGGGGGAGCATGTTTTAGACAGGGGGAGGTTCGGGGCATGTGGGATGCAGCTCACTTCACTGAAAACCAGGCAGGGGCTCTGCTCAGGCCAGACGCGGATGCAAACCTGCACTATGTGAAGGACAGATCCATTCAGTTAAGTACTCCCCTTTCTCCATCTCGCTGCATCTGACAACGATCCTGCAAAACCAATACAGGATCTCCGCAGCGCTAGCAGCCTCTGAGGCAGATGTTGCCTTCACATTTTATCTTTCTCTGGGGCGCGATGACTTCTGAGTTCTCTCTGTGCTAGAGAAGCCGGAGAGAGATGTGACAATAACAAACAGCTCAGCAGAGGCTTCCAAACCCACTGAGAAGATGCAATGAACTTGGCAGGCAAGCACCACTGGCATAGAATCTTTTGTGGGTCAAAGCCATTGGCAGCTGGGAAAAAGAAAGTTTGAGAGCCTGCGGAACAAGCCATTGAGCTGTTCTTGGAGAAGGGACGAAGGAAAGATTAGGAAACAATAGCTTAAAAAGTGGGAAGGAAGAGAACGAGGAGGGGCAGAAGGGTGGGGGGATGAAAGAAGGGAGGGAAAGAAAAAGAATCAAAATGTACAGAGAGTTCTCGGAATCAAATCTTTGAGCCTCTCAATTCATATAAACCAGGTTACCACTGGCAGCAAAGATAGTTGCTCGTGCAAGGTTAACAAGTAACTTTCGCAGGTGGCTCCCTTGAACAAAATATTTGCCACAGCGATTAGCTTGGCCTCACTGAAACATGCCACTACGGCTGTCAGGCCCATCATGCCTACGGGTGGGTGCTGGATTCCAACTCCTCTTCCATGGCCTGCAGCAAAACTCGCTCGCTCACAGATTCAAAGCAGCACCCGCCGCAGTGGGTATCAGCTGCGGGTCTCGCAATGAATCTCAAACATGGTCGGATTTGTGCTCTTATACAAGCTTTCAGCTCTCGTGCCCACAGCGACAGGCATCAGGCAATTTCTCTTTGCCTCTATGCCCTGAAAGCTGCTGTTATTAAAATGCAACCGCTATTGATTTCCCTCATGATATCCTTCTTCTGCTTATCCACTGAACTTAAACACCAGAGGAAAGTGTATCAATAGAAACTACGTGGTTGTGGAAAAGCAGTCTCACATCGCCTGGCTTGGCTCAGATCTTTCTAGAAGAGTGTTTCGCAAAGTTGTCTGTGAAACCACCGAGAAACCTGTTAATTGTCCACACTGGTTTGTTTACTTACCAGCACTGCAGCCACAGAGCCTCGCGGCTCCGATTAGCCCTGTTTCGCTGTTTGCAGACAAAGGGAGCTGCGGGAGGCAGCGGACTGGCCCACACCACTTCCCATGGCTCCCCTTGGCTACAAACGGTGAAAGGGAGCCAATAGGAGCCGCGAGGCTTTGCTCTCGAGATGACGGACTAGTGATGTTCCTGCCAGGCTGTGTAAAATACAGAATGTGCCTGGGGCCCAGAGAGACAGGGCCTGTGTTGTGGAATCAAATAGGAAAAACTGAGGACCTACCGGTTTGAGCCAGAAGCCAAAGGGGATTTCTGTGCATTTAACTGCCTGCTCGTCTGCTTAGGTTAAACATTTTGTTGTACAGAGAACTGGTTCCATCTAGGAGACAACTTCTATTCCATTTTGTCATTGATAATATAGGATACTTCATCCTCCCCCTTGTCTTCTGAAGCATGTATCTTTGGTGTCTAAAGAGACCAGCAGATGTCAAAGGCACAGATTCTATGTGAGTGTCCACCAATCACCAGCCAGCTGCTGTGACACCCATCTTCTCACCCTTCCCCCAAAAAATTATGGGAGGAAAGAGGGCAGGGTGTGGGAGACGGGGTGGGTAAGATGGTGTCTTGGGCTGGGAAGTGGATTTTGAAAGCAGGGATT